AACCGCCTTTTTTGCAGGAGTGTTCTGCCCCTGTGATGCGGAAATTAAAAATACCTGGCCCTTTGGATGTTTGAGGGTGTACCTTAGGCAATTCGTCTATCTAATCTTTTGCTTGCTACCATTTAAGTCCACCTATCCGTTTGTGTGGGTAACTGGAACTTTCTTTGTTCTGCTGATCTCCGGCTCACAATGTACTCATCCCTGAAAACCTTAGATTTCTCCCTCCTCAACCTGGCTTTGTCTCAAATAGGTAATGCTAGCACTGTCGTGTTGAAGGACTAAACATGTGTGCATATGCATTATACTCACAACACCTTGTCAGTTCGTTTTGCAAAAAGCAATTAGGACAGTCACTATGAGACACCATCACAGTCTTAGTTGGAAGGGCCCAGTGGACCTTTAAGGTAGAGAGGGTGATCCCGCCATCTGCCATTCTCTCTGTGGCCGGCTTGGCGATGCTGTCGGCGTTTTTTCTGGGGAGCGTAGCGGAAAAAGGCCCCACTCCTTTAGAAGCCGCATGCCCACCTCCGGTTCGTTTGCTGTATGTGATCTTCCGTTTCTCCAGACAATGATTTTGGTCGGATATCCCCAGCGATATTGAATATTGTTGTTCCTCAGTGTTTTTGTGACTGTTACAAACTCTCGTCTCCTGCTCATGGTCAAGGCCGAGAGATCTGCGTATAGTTGGACATTTTCATATGGTGTAGGCAGGTTTGTTCCTTTCCTAGCCGCCGCCAGTACTGCGTCCTTTGTTTTGAAGTAGTGGAAACGCACGACTATGTCTCGCGGCGTATCTGGTGTTAGCCGTTGGGGCCTCGGCAGGCGGTGCGCCCGGTCCATAAGCCATTCTGCTTCTGGTACTTTTGGGACCAGGGATTTGCATATGGTCATTATGCTCTCTGCGAGGTTGTCATTTGTAACGGATTCCGGAATTCCTCGGAACCTGACGTTGTTTCGCCTTGAGCGATCTTCCATGTCGGCCATCTTCTTTTTAAGGGACATGTGTTCTTCAGTTAAATTCTGTACAGCTGTCGCCAGTGTGTCATGTGCTGAGCATAGCTCGTCTTGTCTGGCTTCCAGGCTATTGGTTCTCTCTCCCAATTCTGAAATTTCCTTTTTGATATCATTAGTAGCCTGTCTCAGATCTTTTTGCAGCGTTAACCTGAAGTCCTGCAGCATGGAAAAAAGCTTTCTCTCTGTAACTGGGGCGTCTGTATAGTTGCCTGCCTCATGATCCTGTTCTTGTGTGGAATCTGAGGTTTGGGATAGCGCGGGTCCGTCGCCGCCATCTTGAATGGACCGGGATCTATCTTTTTTTTGTTGGCGGATTGGATCTGTGAGCTTCATTTGTTTGGCAGGGGCCATCACAGCAGTAGGAGGTCTGTACCTTTATTTGTGCCGTTTTTCGAGCGATTTGCTTCGTGGTATCAGGCTTAGAGGTCTTATGCCGCCGGGAGCTCTCACGCCATGCGGCCGCTCACTTCAGCCGTCCGCCCCGCCCCCTAGGCTACCTTGTTAATATTGTACTTCATGCTTATTCTTTATCACCAGAGTCCACATAAAATGTTCTATTAAATATACCAAACGATTAGCACACACAAATGATTGCTCATATTAAGAAAAATCCCCATATTACTATAATATTACTGAAATTCTCAATTAAATTGATGGCCTGTTATTGCTGGATACAATATGATATGCCGTATAGTAGCTATAGTATAAATTGCCTCTAACTGTGCAATTAAGTGCTGTCACACTTTTCAATTCTTCCAGCAGCTTAGTTATGTGTGCGGGATGACAACAACAAACAGAAACTCCTTCACTTCAAAGCACTACTAGGTTACATGCTATTTATACTGTGGACTGGGACTGATTTCATTTTCATTGATAATTCCACTGTGTTGCTATAGAGGTCATTGGCAAATCAAGAAAACCATTAACAAAAAAAAATTCAAGAAAAGTGATTTTGAATTACGCAGCAATGTTACAGTACTGCCGCCCCCTTGTGTTTCCTGTTAAGGGTTAATAAGTGTGTAGGGATTGAGAAGAATAGCCCTCTCTGTCTCATTAGAGATTTTCCATTTTAGCTGAAAGTAACAAAGTGAATTGTTAGTGCCGGACTCAACTAAGGTTTTGCCTTGATGTGGTAGGTGTAGCTATGTAAAGGTGCATAGGGATATGGGATATTGTGCAATTAACTATTTGTTTTTTATTGTATGTATTGGGGCTGGTGTGTACTGTAGTCATTGCTGCTGCCCAGGAGTAGTAGGAGTTTGACCGCAGGTCTTACATTTGCATGTTTGTATTCTTCTCCTGTCTTACAGAGCAAGTAGGCACAGGTTTTTTATATTGCCATGAATAACTTAAGAAATGGGTCAACAAATGTGTGTGAAAGTATATATTTTATTTATTTCATGAGATCTGTTTCTTGTTTTATTAAATTTGCTAGCTATTTTAATGTTTTCCTGTTATTTAATGTTACATTTGCCAGTCGGCAACATTTTCCAACCTTCAGCTGGTATTGTTTGTTTCCAACATATTATATGTCTACAAGAGAGAAAGAATGTAATAATATAAAAAATACCCTTTGTTGCATCAACACCTCACAATGTTTATCCAGCAATAAACAAACAATAAAGGATGTGCTAAGTCTTTATAAATGTTTCTTAAAGACCTTGATTGATTTGAAATGTTACCTGTTTGTTCTGTGCTCTGGACCATGCATTGCCTTCATTTGAGGCTGTGCTGGACTATTTGGCTTTTCTTATAATTGTATTGTTTTGTGGGCTCAGCTGCAGGTGGTTTACAGATTTCAGCAATGGGCAGCTCTTACAAACCAAATGCCACAGCAATTCCTCATAGTAAACAGGTAGGCTGAGAGGGTGTATCCTTGCACATATGAGACTGCACAATTTCATATTTCTTTTTCTGAGGGTCGAATGGTGCATACTTACTTGTATTAGGTGTGAGCGCGTGCACTCTTGCAGGTGCTAAGGTTGGAGCTAGACAGCCTGAGTAGTCAGCGTGTGCATGTTTAACAAAAGCATGCATGTTTTATTGTTGGTATAGGAGTGTACACAAAAAACACTTCATCATATAGAAGTGGTCTTGGTGCATAGATCCTATCCCTTATTTATTGTAATGCAATATATTGCTATTTTAGGGAACTACAATGCTTACATTTGGCTCTAGTGACTGTCAGACTGACAGGAGACTTTCGAAATTCAAAAGTCTTCAAATTTGGCGTCACAGTATCCAGATGAAGATGATCAATACTGTTAATGCTTCTTATACACCAGTATCTGATTGGCAGAGTACAACGCTGGATAAGGCTTGGAAATCACCAGTATTGATAATCTCATGAAGAGAGCAGCAAAAGTCAAGAAGAGATTATCACAGTGCTGGGTTACAGGTAAGAGGGGGTCCAGTAAGTTAAACATATATTTTCTTTAAAGTTAAATAATCCTTTTAATGTGTTTGCGTGTATATTCCAAGTGCCTTTTTGGAGAGTGGTGTATGTATTATGGGTGTAATGTGTGATGTGGGTGACTGACTAATGTGCATCTGCTGTGTTCTGTATTGACATATTTTGACAGGCAGTTGGAGGAAATGTGATGATTGAGTGTTTTTGGACTGCTATCTTTTACTATTAGAAAATACATTTACGTTTGCATTACCGGCTATAAATAACAAAGGCCAGTGTGAGAAACATAGAACATAGAATGTGACGGCAGATAAGAACCATTCGGCCCATCTAGTCTGCCCAATGGGCCGAATGTATATTTATTTCTGATCACGTAATAAAGTTCTGAAAACACTAAGATACCCTTTTTTAAAATTATGATCACTTCTAAGTTGGAAATAAAGCAACATGTGTTTTCAAAACAGTTTATTTTATTTATTCTTTTTTTTTTTGTTATCAGACAAACACATTGATTTCTGGACCACAGTAGAGGATGGAAACCTTTCACAAACTTATTTATTTTGAAAATACAAATATAAAATTATACTTTCCACATCTATGATGTGAGAGACCCCCATCCACATAGTAAATTACATCAAGGCTTCGGGAAGCCGTACACAAAGACCTGAAAGATGCGATGCTTGAGAGATATATATATATATAGATACATACATATGTATATATATAAAAAAATAGTCACTACCAAAGTTCTCATCAGTTCATACTAAAGTATAAAAGTAAGGGCTAGGTCTGCCACAGTGCCATTAAGGTTAATTTGTGTTCAGATACGTAAAACCACCAACGATGCTTACATTGGCTTTACGTGAAAAACTCCAAATCTAGAACTCACAAGATACATTAAATCCTAGATTTGACAGCACACCTCCATTCCAGAAGAGGCACACAGATCTTGCACTGGTTGCTTTGTGCAGTATACAGTAAGCATTGGTGACTTTTTTTTTCTTTTTAAATTTTATTTTCTATCTACCCTGTTAGATCAAGAATAAAATAAGAAGAAGATACTAAAAATAAATGGAACTCAAAAATTGAAAATCTTCTGAAAAACAGTACATTCTGATTGTTCAGTGATATACGCGCAGATCAAGTGGGCAACTTGGGTGTCTACTGTAATTCTTTTCTTCAATAGCCTATTGATTTCTTTCAGTTATTTTTGGTAAAACTCATTACAGTATTTTGTAGTATTGCTTAACATACAGAACTATTGTAGTGTTTACACATGTCAAAATTTGAACACTCATGAATACTTGTACAATGTTCATAGCATGACCTTATGAAACTACCAGTGTATCTCAGTAGAGCTTCATTCTATTAGTGCTAAAACAGACGTGTCAAGGTCCTTAAAACCAAATACAAGATGTGTAACAAGCATGATAAAATCATCTTTTCAAGTTAATTACAAGTTAGTGTTTTTTGTAAACAATTGTACATCACACAAAGGATGGATGATTTCATTAACAATGTAATAAACTATATTGCTTTAGTCTTGATCATGTGTATGGCAAACATTTAAAACATCGGTGTGGCTATGTCCCTAGCCCTCATTCACACTTAAAGGTACATAGAATTGACATTTAAAAAATAAAAACCTGAAACAAATAATAAAAAATTAGAATAAAGTTCTTACACCTTTCAGGTCGTCATTACCAACAATTACCCAATGATTGAACTAGTCTAGTACAATGTGCCTCATTCATCAGCTGTAAATTGCTGTACAATGATAAATAAAATAACAGCAACAGAGCCATGCTACCTTAAAGTCCAAGCTACAAGTTCAACTTAACGTGAACATAGTGGAACCTACAAAACAAATAGGACAGGAGAGACTTTATCTTAACCAAGGAGGTTGTGCTCACTTGTGCATTTTTTTATAAAGAATAAAAAACAAGCACTCAAAATGAGATGCCTGTACCCTACTGATCGAAAGAAGGTGATCTCAAATGATTAACTAGATATTGTGCTTGAACACATGACTATAGAGTAAAGGTAGAAGTGAATTAACATTCCATCAGTTTCCGAATGTACTATTTTCAGGGGTTTAAGTTGTTTTTGTACATAACTGACCTATAGTATCATCTTAATGTGTTTCTCTACTACTGTGTGCCACACTAAATGGAATTTAATTTAGAAAGTTGAAAATCTAAGGACAAATCTCCTTTCTTCTTAATAATGTTCTAAATTGTTGAAGGAGTGCAAGCCTTTGCCATGTAATCTGCTAGCCTATTAAAATATTAATACATTCTAGTTTTACACAGGATGCTTAATATGTATGTCTAAGTGTATTAACAATTATTAAGTGAAATGGGAATAGTTGTACGTGTTTTTACTTAACAAGGCTTGCAGAACAAGCTTGAAATAAACTATTATGTTGCCAGTACCCAATATAAAATGAAAGTACTTTATTTATTTTATAGCACATTTGGACTCTAGTGATATTAGCATGAAATCATTATTAACAAGGCACTGCTAGAAAAAGTGAAGAGATGATTAAGGCATACACCTCCAGCGAAAATAAATTATTTTGACAAATTATATTGTGGGTATATTTTTTTAAAGAACATCTGGTCTTATTTTCCAGATAGGATATATTTATAATCTCTTCTGTATAGAATATATTAATAACCTCTACTTTTGTAAAGGGGGACAATAAAGATTTATATTCCATAGCTGTATGCGTGATTTGTTTAGCTGTGCGTGTTTAGTGATCACCTGTATTATTTTGCTCTTGGCATTTTTGGACAATCCTAAAAGACCACTTTTTACAGGTAAGCTGTACTGTAACAGATTACACAAACTAGGAGGCTCTTCGTAGTGAGTCAGTCTGAACTTTTATGATATTTATTAGCAGAACTCCTATGAAATGTGCAAAGGGACTCTCTAAAAAGACATCATGCTCGTGGTGATGCTGGTTAGTTAAATAATCTTTTAACAGTAGGGAATGTTCAATCCCACGGATTACATGATCTAATCATTCAGCAGTGACTATTCAATATTTCATTTGTTGGAGGTCGATAAAATGAGTACCATTGAGCTGCGTAATAATAACTTTTATATCTCTGAACATATTTGAAAATCTCAATGTATCACACTTTGATTAAAAAGGCCTAGCACAATGCGGTTTGAGTTAACCAACTGTGACCCCATAATATGCTAACACAGGAATAGCAGAAGGGACTAAGAGACCCACTGACAAAAGGTCTTGTAGATCATATCAGCCAAGTTCAGTGCAGGTCTCTTTCCAGGCTAGAAATTGATTAGAATACAAAAAAGGCTAGGAATTGATTAATGTAATAATCAATACATGCACACTGTTGGCATGTGTTTTAATTTAACATATGTGACCAAGATATTATTATTATTATTATATGACTGCAAACGTATGTTCTTGTAAGTGTTGTTTTAAGTGTTCCTAGAAGGCTGCGAGATAAACTGAATATATATATATATATAAAAAAAATCTAATAGTTTGCACACAGAAAAAGGTTTCTGCCTATAGCACTAAATGTATTTTTAATAAAATACATATAGGATGAAAGGCTTAAAGGACCACTCTAGGCACCCAGACCACTTCAGCTTAATGAAGTGGTCTGGGTGCCAGGTCCTTCTAGGGTTAACCCATTTTTTAATAAACATAGCAGTTTCAGAGAAACTGCTATGTTTATGAATGGGTTAAGCCTTCCCCTATTCCTCTAGTGGCTGTCTCATTGACAGCCACTAGAGGCGCTTGCGTGCTTCTCACTGTGATTTTCACAGTGAGAGCACGCAAGCATCCATAAAAGCATTGTAAATGCTTTCCTATGACGGCTGAATGCGGCGCAGTTCTTGCCGCGCGTGCGCATTCAGCCCAGGAGGAGGATCGGAGGAGGAGAGGAGGCAGAGAGCTCCCCGCCCAGCGCTGGAAAAAGGTAAGTTTTAACCCCTTTCCAGAGCCGGGCGGGAGGGGTCCCTGAGGGTGGGGGCACCCTCAGGGCACTATAGTGCCAGGAAAACAAGTATGTTTTCCTGGCACTATAGTGGTCCTTTAACCATTGACTATTGAAGTGTGAATGTGTGTATATATGTGCCTTTGGGATTGTTGAGAACCCTACATGTGTGTATATATATATATATACACACACACACACACACATAGGGTTCTCAACGATCCCAAAGGCAGGATAGTCGGGTTCTCTCCCACTTTTGAGGACACCAGAAAAGTGAGATCAACAATCAACAATCAACAAATCATTAGATGTCCTTGCACTATGCTCAGACAGCAATAAATCAGAGCTCCGTGCATGGCCCGCCCTTGGTGAGCCAGCATACTTGATATGTCTGTCTATTCTATGGATACATACACACACACACAGTTTTTGGAGGCAGGTTTGTCCCTTTTGGGAGGAGCCAATGACCAAAACTGCATCACTGGCTCACCTCCTTTTACCCCCTCTCACTGGGACGTATACACATATGTCCCATATACACACATATATCTGACTGTACTCATTTTATCAGCCTCATATTATTTTTCACCATTTGTAGTGTTTACCATTTTTTTAATAGCACTATGAATTTGTTTTATTGTTTCTTGCATTTGAATGCATGTGCGTGATATTGCCTGTAGGTGGCTCCCTAGCTGCTCCAGAAATACATCTATGCGCCGTCACGCTTCGTTGGCGGAAAAAAAGTGGTAGGTGTCAAAATGTCAAATATGAGGTATTACATACAAGTGAAGTATGCTACATACATACTCCTCACATTACTATTATTATTATTTGTGTTACTCTATTAGATCGAATTGGTAAGCATTCTGTCTGTGGTAAATTTATTTTGACTCTATATCTTTGGAATCCTTCTAACCATAATGTGGCTGAAATTTTATAGACTACCATAAATAAGTAATGTTATACAGGGTTTGAATTTACACAATGTGTGAACGGTTTTGATGATAATATCTCAAGTGGCTGAGCTCTCAAGTGACCGAAAAAGCCTTTACAATATGAGGGTTCAGCGCACTTTAACACACCATGCAATTACATGCAGGTGTAATTTAATAAGTAATCTATTATTTTTTTTTTTTAGTAAGCGGAAACGCCAAACTATTATCAGTATGTGAAATGTGATGCTGTATATTTTTATCATTTAGAAAAATGTGGAATTGTTACCAGATATAGCATTGAGTTGCAACACTCAACAATGAAAGAATGTGCATCATGTTTACTAGATTATAGAATGAATATGAAACTGCGATATGTGTTTATACTAATTAACCGGCAAACATTAGCAGACACTGGGCGTAGGGATACATAAAATACAGTTAAATAGGGTATTACTGGATCACTGCTGCACTAAGTAGCAGCTGTAGTTGGTTTCGGAACATACTGAAATAAACCACGTGTCTGCTAAAAAAAAGTGGGGTGTATGACTTTGCTGTAATGCTGGGTAAGGCACAATATGGTTCCCCAATATTAGACTGCGCTGTAACAGCCCGAACTAACTAGTGTTTGCCACAAGTGTCATGTCTCAATTATTCTTTGCCGACATTACAATCATAGATTGATTCTGTGTTGCTACTTATATTCACATGTAAGCTTATGATTACCTTCTTAACGAGAATGGGCTAGCGAATCCGATTATAGTATTAAGGGGTTAAGGAAGTGTATTAAAACATACCTTGGGGCACTAAGTTTTGAATCTTGAAAACTAAATGGGAGGACATTTGATTTACTGTAGTAAGTCTTCTAAACTAAAGAGAGAGAGAGATTTAAAAATGGAATAATCCTTCTGCTGGTGATGTGCATGTAGCAAATTCTTAAACAGGACACGTGTTTTTTAGAAACAAGTATGAGCTAAAGCGTGTATAAACTTTAATAGAGCTCTGCTGGTATCATTGACAGAGAGGCATTATAATAAATAATTGGAGATCACCTTCAATTAGTTATAAACTAAGGAGACACAAGCCACTGTCCTTGAGTAAAATAAAGACACCCAGAAAACGTTGTGCTAGCGGAAGTAACAAAACCACAAAAGTACTACACAAGGAGGAAACTAGGGTGTATCTTGGTATAGGCAGCCACAATTAAAACATAAGAGGTTCCACAAGATTTAATCTATGGGCCAATGGGACTCATCAAAGGTATATAGACATTTAAAACATATTCACACAGATTATCGATTTTCTTCTGAGCATTCTTAAAAAAATAATTGTTTTTCTCTTAGTAAAATCATTTAATATACCATGCCTCCCTCTTTTAAAAAATAAATTAAAAAAATCCAGTTTTGCATATATAGCATTAGCATTTAAGGTAGTATGGCATTCCCCTTTCAAAAACAAGGGAGGGAAGGGAGATCTACAAAATGCCTATTATAGAGTTTGCCAGCATTTTAGCGTTGTGAGACCTTTGGTTAGTTGAAACCACATCAGATCAACAAAATAACAAATGATAATAATTATTAAAATTAAAAAAAAAATAAAAAATAAAAAACTGCTCCAAAAATCATTTTCGTTAATTAGAGAAAGTTCTATCCTTACTGGTCCTAAATCTGAAGAACTACATCTATTGTTTTAGTTAATCTTAATTACAATACACCTACCATTACTTACTATAAGAGAAGAAAATGAATTTAGTACATTAGCATCAGGACAGCACACTTACACAACAATCACTATATACAGTGCTAAGATATACCGATGAGAAACAAATCATTTTTTTATGAGGTGACTGGGAATGAAAAGAAAACAAAAACAAAAATATGTATGCGTGTGTATACGTATGTGTGTATATACACACATATATAGATATATATATATATATATACAGATATATGGAAGTACAGTACATCTTCAACTTTGACAAAATATTCATAAAAAAATTCCCCTGATTGGATATTAAATCACCGGGAATGGTTTTTCTTTTTTTTTTTTTCTTTTTACATTAGAACAGTTTGGTTTTATTTATTTTAAATGACTGAATTTTCATATTAAAAAAAAAATAGCATTTTTATTTTAGAGAAACAAAAATGTAAATAGATTTACAGAGTTACTGAGGAAAATTAACAAGCAAAATAAAAAATAGCATTTTCTTTAGCCCCTTCACGACAAGGGTTCTGGCAGATCCCTTACTTTCATGACCATCCTGGTAAGTCATGTGCAGTCATGAAGGGGTTAAGGGAGCATGAATCCCCTCCCCCCATTGCTTGTTTGACAAATCAATTCTATTTAACTTCTATGTTATCGCTACCTGTTAGGAACATTTATAAAAACAGGAGTGCAGCAGCTTTTGTCTCAGAAATGTAGCATTCAGTGTCTTGTACTGGCTGTACGAAATGAAAAAGTACCAATTTCATACATGTAACAGTTTATTAAAAAAAAACAAAAAAAAAACCTCAAAAAACAAACAAAACCCCAAAAAACCTTGGCATATCCTAATACATACATGTGTGTGAATGTATATATATATATATATAAACACAACAGTATGCTATTAATGCCAGATATACCAAGTTGTACTTCTATTTTGCTGTCTTAGGCCTATTTATTGATATTAAAAAAATTAAATAAAAATATCCTTCATACATTTCCCCAGTAGAGGAACATATATAAAATAGCCAAAATAAACTTGTGCAAATAGGAAATTGTCAGTTTTCCCTACCAGTCACAGTGCAATGATGTTCTATACCTTTGTTGTTATTATTATTATTGTTATTAATTCTACAATAAATTAAAATTTTCATCTCTTCTATTGTTATATATTGAGCACTGAGGTATTAAAACTAATTAGTTGTATTCCTAATTTATTAAACAGAGAAAACAAATGTTTTAATGTAACAGAGGGCAGAAGATGCCTTTCCTATCGTGCATATGTCGGTCACTGAAGACATCAACCTATGAATTTAGCTCTAGAAGAGTACTATGGGTAAACAGAGCAGCTGAAATGACTGGACAATATATTGAGCGAATTTAAATTATTGAGAACATTCAAAAATAAATGGTGCGCTTCGAACGTTAAATACTTTTAAATATCAAATCTGTAGCTTAATTTTTAATCTGGGTAAAGTTCTTTAGCTTTAACCTTAAAACAACATAAAAATAGAACCAGACTTTTTAAGCTGTGCACGTAGTTTAAATAGGTAATATGCTGGTATGACGCTAGTACAGTTATCAGGTCTAAAACACCTACACAACAAGCTTTACAGTGTTAATCTATCTAAAAAGGGCACACGTTGGCACCTCATTCAGGGTTTAAAGTTTAGAATGATGCCTTTAATTCCCTATTTTGCCAGAGATGCTGCAGATAATATGCCCTCACAAAAATATTTTTTAAATTTCTCTTTCCTACAAGTTTACATATAGTTAATGGAAGAATATTTACAGTATGTTTGTTTTAAGAACGAATTTCAGAAAAAACCTTAGAATATCACCTTTTTCAACAAGGAAAAAAAAAGCACTTATAGAAAAACCGAGGACTCAAAAATTTTATGTCCTTAAGTTATTGCCGAAAATAGATAGAATTAGTTTAATAAAGATAGACATCACAAAAAAAAGAAAAATCTAAATATTCACTTTAGTCAGCTGTTCTTATACATTATGTACATCATGACGCTGAAAGTTGACTTCAGTAACATGTTACCCTACCTTAATTCAATGCTTGCTAAAACCCAACGCAGCGTTTCTTTCGTTGAAGCAC